TTCAAATAATGTCACTGGTAATGTATTTATAGTGGATGCAGATTCTACACTTCCTGATATTCTAATATTTTCATCACTTTAATTCATAAAATCAATATGTGTTTAGATTTATAGTATTAATAAAGTGATGAAGTTTTATAGTTTGTAGGTTACCTAGATACAGGATCTTCAATGTTTCAATTTTCTTGTTAATGGGTGAAATATGGTTACGAGATTAATACAATACTATTGATCAAATGAGAAAGCTCTTTTTACCATACTAATATTTCATTGATCAAATATTAAAGATAAAGTGATGAAACTTTATAGTTTGTAGTCACCTAGATACATGATCTTCAATGTTTCAATTTTTTTATTAATGGGTGAAATATGATTAGGAGATTAATACAATACTATTGATCAAATGAGAAAGCTCTTTTTTGCCGTATCAAGATGTCATTGATCAAATGTTAAAAATCCTTTGCCCAACCATAACAAAACATATTTTTTGAAATTTTAATTTCAGCCATATTGGGGGGAAAATACTTCTGAGATATTATTAAGTAGAATGCATAAACCATTACAAAGAAGATATTATTTATCAAGCAATTATTAAATAAATAATGAAGTTAGAATGGTTATATATTGATCAAGTCGGGGGATTGAACATGTTATATTGTTGCTGATTTGGGCACTATGATTGTGGCTTAGGGCCCAGATATAAAGCAAACCTCTCTACTCTCAACCCAATGAGCCCCTTTTACGTGTCTGTCCTTTTTGTTTTTGTTTTATTTTATTTTCTCAATATTTGGAAGGTGCAAGATGGAGCGGATTTTGCCTTGTGTTATTATTGATAAGGAAGAAGGGGAGAGGAGATATGTGGGGGAGTGGTGATAGGATTAGGAGCAAAGTGAATGACAGGAAAAGGTCACTTTCCAAAACTATCTGCTCCCATTAATAATAACCTTCACCAAATCAAATTTTCTGCTGTTTATAATATTGTACCCTTCAAGAATTATTGTCTTTCAATTTATGACCCTTCTAATACTTATATATTTCCTTGTAATATGTGTATATATATACATATATATTCCAGCTGTGTAATTTTGTATTTTTTTTTTGGTCCCGAGAAGATGAAAAGGACAGACACTAGACCATTGTGGGATTTCCTTTATTTGAAATTATAATGAAATTTACGTTATTTATTTAGGCTAATAGTTCTTAAACCATCCTTCTAAATGAAACAAGTTTACCCTTCTAACACGAGGGTAGATTTTTTTTTTTTTTTTATTAAATGGGTACACAGTCTAATTCATCATGCCATAATGCGTGTGTGTGTGTATATATATATATATATATACATTTTATGAATTTGGCAGTGTAGCAGGTAGGCAGAATCTGCCAAATCTGTTAATAATTGGTTCGATTTGGTAAATCCTGGATCTGTAAACAAAGAAATAGAATAGTGACAAAAAGACAAAAGCCCAAACGTAAAAAAATATACTTGGTGGAATTATTTCTTGCCAACTCTAAAAAAAAAAATATATAAATAAAAATAAATAAAGCAAAAAATGCAGGAACATCTCATCTCCTGTGGGGTACTGACCTTAAACTTCCATGTGCCGTGTCCGATCAAATCAGGTTGCATCACTGGAAGGGGAAAGAAAGAATCTCCGGACGTACAATTCAACTTCTTTCTAAACCAATAAATAGTTTTAATGAGTTTTTACTTCCAGTTAATATAAAAAGTGCAAAAAAACAAAACAAAAAATTATTATTATTATTAACAGGGTAGACATCATTATTTGTTTTAACTTTTAAACCAAAATGCAAATGTTGGTGAATCTTTTTATTTTAAATTGTTTTATGATTAATCATTTATGTCGGCACGGTAGGGACCAATAAATTAATTTTCTAATAACCCATGTGGATATGTAATGGTATACTTAACCATAATCACTCAAATCATTAGCCGCTTACTTTCACACTTAATACTACTACTATATATTTATTCCCAATGCCGCCAGCGGCTTCGATCTTATCTACAAACAGATCAAGATTCACGACGTGTGGCCGAATAAAATCAAAGAAGCAGTGCACCAGTCAGTGGCCTATCAATTTGTTCGCCATAAAATTTCCTCTTATTATTTATTCTCCGTATTACGACGAGAACCAGAAATGTATTATTCTACTACGACCCACCTTTCCTAAAACTAATAATTGTAATACGAGCATTAAAAAAAAAAATTATCAGCTTTCGAGCAGAATAATTGCGGAGTCCTACATTTATACTGACCAGTTTTATTAACTTCGCAAGCATAGTTAGCTTTGACCACGTTTATCTATCTATGAATTGCTATTTCTCTTTCCTTTTTTTTTTTTTTCTTTTCCTTCTTCTGTAAAGATAAAACGAAAGAGAAAAAAGAAAGACGATGCGATGTACGTGGAAGAGAAAAAGAAGAAGGTAGAGACGAGAGGAAAACGAGAATACACGAACGGGGAATGATACAACTAAAACAGAGTAAACAACAACTCCCTTCCATAAAACCACACGATACAACAATCCCCCGTTCCTAGATAACATCATCATTAAAATATCACAAATTTTAAAATTAATGAAACCCTCAAAACAAATTAAATACACCAAAAAAGAAAATCAGAGGGAATACGAAACGACGCCTCCTTTTTCTTTCTTTTCATTCCCACCCATGCAAATGCAATGCAAACCCACTACCAAGTTCCCCTCTCAGTAATCTGCGGTTGGAAGCTGCTCGTGGCTGTGGCTGATGAAGAAGAAATCGTAGATGAGGCCAGCCAGCCCACCGCCGATCAGAGGTCCTGCCCAGTACACCCAGTGGTTGTCCCAGCTCCAGCTCACCACTGCAGGACCGAAGGAGACTGCTGGGTTCATGGAGGCTCCGTCGAAAGCCCCCCCGGCCAAAATGTTTGCGCCCACGATGAAACCGATCGCTATGGGTGCGATTGTTCCAAGACTTCCCTTCTTGGGATCAACGGCCGTGGCATACACGGTGTACACCAACCCGAAGGTCATCACGATCTCGAAAACGAACGCGTTCCACACTCCGACGCCTGACGACAGTGCGAAGGCTGAGGTGGTCTGGATGCACCGAAACAGAAGCAAATATTTTTAGCTAACAGAATAGAACGAAACACAACTACTACCGTAACCAACTTTTGGATGACGGTAAACAAGCAAACTCACCAAGCCGCCTGTGGCGAACTTGAGAAGGGCGCAGGCGGCGACGGATCCAAGGAGCTGAGCTATCCAGTAAAGGATACCACGAAGGAGACTGATGTTTCCTCCGACGAAGGCGCCGAAGGTGACAGCGGGGTTGACGTGGCCTCCGGAGATGTTGGCGCCAACGGCCACGGCCACAAAAAGAGCAAAGGCGTGAGCGATTGCGGCGGCGATGAGGCCGGCGGGAGTGGCGGCTCCGTTGTTGGTGAGCTTGTTAAAGGCCATTCCCGATCCTTCTCCTGCGAAGACGAAGATAAGCATGGATATGAACTCGGCCAAGGCAGCTTTCAGTGCATCTGGGTGGGTTGCCTCCTCGGGCCTCCCTATCGCGATGTTCCTGATCGGCATGTTCGTCTGATTCAGATGAAACGAGGGATGCGTGAGAGGGAGAGAGGTATCTTGGTATGGGCAAGGGTCGAGATGGTTCTGCAAGTACTGGTCTCCACTTCTCAGCTCTTGGCTCTTACTCTTATATCCAGAGAGCGAACTCGTCGATGACCCAGGATAGCCCGTAACCGGTTGAGGATCAAAGAATATTACAATAAGATGTGCAGATGGGGACCCCATTTATTGCGTGTTGTAATGGGCTCGTGTTTGGGGTTACCGGTAGCAGGTCAATGGTAGTGGATGTACAGCGAAGCGCATGCCTAGACGATCTACATATGCCGACACGTGTACATCTGGATAAGGTGACACGTCAGGCTTCGGCAAAAAATGGGTTTTGATTTTTTGCTTCCCGTGTGTTGAAGTGAAATATTAGTTGAAAACTGATTAATTATAAATATATAATTTATGAATATTTTATTTAGTAGTAATAAATAAATTTGTCAGTCTGAAGAGCTTCTTTTTTTTTTTCTTTAACAAAAATAAAATAGATTTCTTCTTTTCTTGCTAAAATAGAATCTTGTATGGGTGAGCCAACGTGAAAGAAAATAAATAAATAAATAATTTCCCACTTGAATTTTTTTTTTTTTTAAAAAAAAATAATAAAAAACAACCTTTCTTGTGTAATTTAGTCAATTATTATTACTTTATTATATGATTACGACTTGTTTATAATAAATCAATATTTATTGCCATTATTAATAAAAAGCTGTTTAAGCAAAAAATCTTCAAATAATTGTTTCTTCTGAGAAGGTGAAAGAAAGGCCTGGAAAAAGAGGCATGTGAGAGAGAGAGAGAGAGCACGTAGCCTTTTTAACCAAAACAAAAAGGAGAAGGACTACAGAATCATGCACGTTACCAGGCTGGCACTCTGATTGGTCAGCCACTATTGAGTAACAAACCACTGCTCGCCAGCTGTATCCAATTCACTCCTTCTGTGGTGAGGGCCCGCCACGTGGCTCTCACGTCATTCGGATCTTTGTACTCACCCTCACCCAGACGAGACAACCAGTTTTTCAAATAATTTACAGTGATTCCTCCGTCGTCTCCTTCAAATTTTTATCTTTATCGCAATCTCATTTATTGAGATTGAAAAAACTGATACTGTCGATTTGGGCTTTTGCCGAAGAACAAGCCCATTTTGAGAGCACAAAGGAATCAAACATATAAATCCCAAGTCTTGGTTTTTTTTTTTTTTTTTTATCGGAGTAAAATTGTCGCACATCAATGGCCGCCGATTCTTCCTACGAAAAATACGAAATCAGGAAGAGAAACCCAGACCCCAAAACCTCCGCCTTACTGGTCGTCGACATGCAAAACTACTTCGCTTCGATGGCGAAGCCAATTCTCAACAGCGTTCTCACCACCGTCGACCTCTGCCGGCGCGCCTCCATCCCCGTTTTCTTCACCCGCCACCGCCATCGGTCCCCGACAGATTACGGCATGCTGGGCGAGTGGTGGAACAACCATCTCATCCTCGACGGCACCCCCGAAGCCGAGCTCTTGCCAGAAATCGCAAGGCTTGCCAGCGCCGAGCAGGTGGTGGAGAAGACCACTTACAGCGCGTTTCGGAAGACGGGCCTGCAGGGGCGGTTGGCGGAGATGGGGGTCGAAGAGGTCATCGTGACGGGCGTGATGACGAATCTGTGCTGCGAAACGACGTCGCGCGATGCTTTCGTGAGAGGGTTTAGGGTGTTCTTCTCGACAGATGCGACTGCAACTTCGGATCCGGAATTGCACGAATCGACCTTGAAGAATTTGGCCTATGGGTTTGCTTATCTGGTTGACTGCAACAGGCTTCGACGGGGACTTTTTGGGAATTAAGTTTTATTTTGGGTGGGTTTTAAATAAATAAATTTTGTGGACATTATACGTAAATAGTTCGAGAATTATTACATATTGTTTTAATTAATTAATTTTGTACGCTTAAATATTATATACCCAGAGTGAGTATGTATGTATATATATAGCTATTTGAATGATTCAAACAAAATATAGATTGACTCTGCCCTGCATGTGTACAATCAATTATAAAGATAACGATACATTAATCGGAGTAGTATATTATAATACAATTTATTCCTTTCTTAAGCAGCATATATATATATATATACACAGCCAATAAGAAGCAATTACATGAAAATTATTAGAAGAAGAGTTGAAACCACAACAAAAAGAAAAAACACATACACGTAAATGGGAGGATGCTTTACTTTGAGTGAGTAACAAGAGGCTCTCATTCTCGTAGTATAATTTCCGCACGTCAGGAATATCCATTGAACACTCTTCTTCTTCTCTCCTTCCTTGACGCAGACGCAGACGCAGACGCAGACGCAGAACACAAACGCAATGCCTTGTCACTTAATACTATTACACAAACCTCGCCCTCCAAAAAAGAACCTCTAGCTATTATGATATTATTGGATTACTTAACTCTCAACTGGGACATTAATCAATTGAACTTAATGGAAAAGCAGTACCCACGATCATCACCCCCGTCTGTCGGCCTTACCGAAGCCACTCCAATCATTGGTTAATTCATAATGTATATAATTTATATACGTATAAGCGGCGTAATTTATATATGTGGGTATAGACTGTACATGTTGTGTTGGTTGAGGTGGGTCAACTGTACACCTTCATTAACTCTGTCTTATATGCATTATTTCTCAAGAAATCCCAGTACTGCTACTGGTATAAACTCATTCATTAAATGATGTAATTTTCAATATTAAAGAGTTAGAGCTACCAGAAATTGAAGCAGAGGAGGGTGTTGGTAAATTGATCAAAATAAGCCAGCATTAGGTGTTTGGTGTGGAATTAAATTAAACGGTTGGTAAGTGGAGTTAGTTAAAAGAGCTAAGAGAGTAAGAATAAAAATAAAATGGATGAAGAAGAGAAAGGAAAAAAGGGCCGCAAATTCTGTGGTTCCAGGCTTGCAAACCAATCCTCCAGAAAGCTATCTTTACTAAAAAGTAATGGGTTTGCTTCAAACCCAACCGAATCTCACTCCTCTCCTCGCTCTCTCTAATCTCTATCTTAACTCATACAATCCTTCTCTCTCTCCCTCCCTCCCTCCCCATGTATATAAAAACAATTTTCCCTCCTATATATACACACACACACACACACACCAAATTAGCTTCCAAGCTTGGAAAACGCAAGACTGTCAACCACAAAACGCGCCTAACTGTAAACTTGTACACACAGACACTTTCTCTCTATATAACACCCACTCTTCTATACTTTGCTTCCTCCATCTCTCTCTCTCTCTCTCTCTCTCTCTCTCTCTCAATCTCTGGGTGTGTCCGGGGAATTATACACATAACCACATGACGATGGAGGCTCAAGACGAAGTTATAGGCTGCAGCAGCACAGATCAGACGCAAGTCATCAAAGGCAAACGCACCAAACGCCCAAGACCTACCTCTCCTCTCAACGTCACCGCTTCTTCCCTCGCCCAAAATCCCAGGTTAATCAACGATGACCCTCGGGACCTCGATCGCCTAACGCTCTCTTCACCCGATCACGATGAATTTACGCACAGTGATGATACCACCGAGGAGGAACAAGACATGGCTAATTGCTTGATCCTTCTGGCTCAGGGTCGTCGTCGTCCGATTATATCTTCATCAGTTGCAGAATTCTCGCTTGCTACCAAGTCTCCCCCTGCAACTGGGTTGTACGTCTACCAGTGCAAGACGTGTGACCGATGCTTCCCTTCTTTCCAAGCGCTGGGCGGACACCGAGCGAGTCACAAGAAACCGGCCAAGACTCATTGCAACGACGAAAAGATGGTGGTGGTCATGCAAGCAGATGGCTTTGTCAATAACACCAGCAACTCACTATCGCTGCAAATAGCGAATAGGGAGGCGGCCAAGTCTAATAAGGTTCACGAGTGTTCTATTTGTGGCGCTGAGTTCTCCTCCGGCCAGGCTTTGGGAGGCCACATGAGGCGTCATAGAATCGCAGCGACGACGACGACGACGACTTCTTCTTCTGCAACGGGGTTCGGTAATATCCATTCACCAGAATCCAAAAAACCCAGAAATGTTCTAGAATTAGACCTTAACCTTCCTGCACCAGAAGTCGATCAATTAGATCAACCCAAGTTTGCCTTTTCGTCCAAGGAACAAATACTCGTCTTCTCTCCTCCTCCTTTGGTTGGTTGCCATTACTAACTATACCCACCCTTAATTAAACTCCTAATCAATTGTATAATTCATTCTTTTTATGTTAACATTGATTGCTTAATCTCACAATTGTAATTGGAGATTCTTTATTCTTTCAATTCTGTTAGTATTTGTCTGTGTTCATGTTAATTAGTTTATTATCTCCTGTAAATGGCTGCATTTGATTCACCAGAACTTTTCTAATAGAAAAGGTTGTTAAGTCTGAAGTTATTCATAAGAGGCATGAGAATTGGAATCTTGAGGGGTAACCTAAAGTGGTGGATTAGTTTGTGTTTTGTTGTTTGGTTTGCAAGAAAAGCTAAAAGATGTCTGTTTCATTTAATATGACAAATTAACCACCCAGAGAGAGAGAGAGAGACGATGATGATGATGAGAATCAAGGCCACTACTAATTAACTGCTCCACCTCTACCGCTTTCATCCATAATCGGTCTGCCCACACTCACCACATGCTCGGGCGTGTATATATATTACAAAACCATTTATTTTCTAACTCATCATTTCCACAATTCAGAAACCTAGTAAGATTAAAATATATATATATATGTAAATATAATATAGATGTATATGTATTCGTGTTGTCAGTTGGTAACTTTCTTTCGAAGTTGCCAAATCATAATAGCTAATAAATTAATCAAAGAAGCAAAATTAGTGAAATTATATATATATATATATATATCTAAACTTGAGCACTAAGAATGATTGGTATTGTGATGCATGCAGTTAGCTGCTAGTGCTTCTACCAGCTGGAGAGAGACAAATTTACGTTATGAGTAAACTTTGGAATCTAAATAAAATATTATACTTATGGTGAAAATAAATATCACATGCATTACTGTAATATTTTATTTACTCCTCCTCAACTGGCTTTCGTTTATGTTGGAAAAAATTTACACCTGTTACCATCTTTCATGGCGAGACCAAAGAAGGCAAGATTTCCTTTTTAGCTTCTTCTTCTACTGCTGCAAGTTGCAGTTCACCAGCCTCTCCGACGGACTTTATCATCAAAATATTTTCCATGAAACCCAGCAGCTAAAATACAAGTAAAAGTGCAAAATTCCTTTTATTTATTTATTTTTATAAATATTAAAAATATCTAAATAATCAAATTCAAGTCAAATCTTATGTTTTCATGCCCAACCCATAAAAGCTCAAATTGCGTACTCAAACTCCATTTCATTGTACGAATTGGGTTGCCGTGAGCTTTTTAGTTTGGGCTCATAAAAGACTGAATAAGCACATATGGCGAAGTAGCCCAGTCCACAAGGGTTCTGCTGTGAGCTTCAAGTCAGTTAAGGCGACGACGGAATATAGCCCCTCGCGTCTTCACAAAAACTCATACAGCAACGCAAACGCAAACCAAGAGGATACAACCAAAATGGCCGTTCCGGGGAGGCGTAACGGCCTATTGGAAGAAGATGATGATGGTTTCATAGATGAGAATGCTGTCTTCGAGGAAGACGCAGTCGATGCTGACCTCGACTTTGAGCTTCCGGTGCACCTCCGCGACTTCAGCACCGCCGCTCAGATCGGCGATGTCGACGCACTGCGGCTCGCTATTGGTCGTCCACATTTTTCCTTTTATTCTTCTACTTCACTTGTTCTTTTAGTTTTCGTTTTCTTTTTAGTTCTTACTCATTTACTCAACTGCTTGAACTATTCAATTATTGTGGTTGTGTCGGTTCCCTCACATATCCTCCATTTTCTGTTTGAAGGTGAAACCCTAGGGTTTTACCCAATTTTTCATGGTTTTCTTTTTCCTTTATTATGTGGTATGGATGATACTTTTTGTTTCCTAAAGCATTAAAAAATATCATCAAGGGAAGGGGGGGCCCTTTTCCTTTTTGTTTTTCCGCACATTTGAATTTATTTGATTGTTTGAGCCATATGCTATCAGGAATTATTTTGGGTTCTTTGAACTGGATCCTATCAATTGTGTTTGATTTCATGGAGTTGCAATACATTATCCGTTTTGTGTTGGTGAAATTATTAGTTTTAATTTTGGAACCCAAAGCACCTATTCCTGTTAGCTGTTTGTGTTGGGCATATGGTTTTCACAATCTGCTTACTTGTATAGAAGCCTTGATTTGTTTGAGTTAATAATGTAACAGACAGCAGACCAGTGAGTAGTATTCTGCTTATAACAAACTCTCAAGGAGATGTTTTTATATTTGACACCTAGTATTGTCAAATATAAGCCTGACACTGGTTTGCTTCATGTTACATATTTTTTTGATTGCTCTTCTATGAGTTTTTTGGCCTTGGAAGCTATGTATCTTTGATTTTTAGATAAATAGTCTTGCGTTCAGTTTTCGGGCTGCAAGTACACAATGAAATTTGTGGAAATCAATACTCACTGCTCTAGTTAGAATCTGTAAGTTTCAAATTGAATTATCTATTGGAAGTTCTCTACTTGTTTCAACTTCCAGTATGGATGAAAGTTTGTTCTCTGGGCATATGTCATTCTTTTTTGGATTTGAAATTAAGGGATATTAGCAGCCGATCCAGTATAACCTGAAATAAAGCAGGTAATGGGCTATAGCAGTGGCTGAAGTTACTTGGTGAATCTAATGAATTTTGGGGTTGGACATCTACACTGGAACATGGTTGTGGAGTAGGAAGGGGCAGGTAGTTTTGAGGCTAAAAGTGCTCTGGTGAGGTAAACGACAGGGTAATTGTTGCTTGTAGGAATACAAACCTGGCAAAGCTGGGATATAAAAGGATTTGAATTGAGCATGAAAGAAGAATATAAGTCTTAGGAATTTGGTGTCTTATGATTAATTCAAATTGTTTTTTGACCACACCACTTTTGTTTTACATTTTAAATTCTGATTCTGGAGACCTATTCTGTATTCCCAATGGGATGTGCATTTCAAGATTAACGTCCTCTTGCATGTGCTTGCCTTCTTGAGTCTAAACTCTTGTCTGATAGCTCCTTGGTCAACAATTGCTTGCATATACTCTTTGGATCTAATTGTCTCTAATACATAATATCTCTTAGTTTTCTATGTTTTTTTTCTAATGATACATTATTTTGCTGAATACCATAGATAATCTGACTGGAAGCATTGATGAACCAGTGGAAGATTCGGATACAGCTCTACATCTGGCCTGTCTCTATGGCTATCTGCCTTGCGTCCAGGTCTTTTGCCATATATTGTTCTTTGTTAGTTGTTTATCACTTCCATACAGCAGTCAACCAGAAGTGTACTAATTAACTCTTTCAAAATAGTTGCTCTTGGAAAAAGGTGCTAGCTTGGAGGTTAAGGATGAAGATGGAGCAATTCCTTTGCATGATGCGTGTGCTGGGGGTAGGCTTAATCTTGTTGTTTTTCTCAGGACCTTAGTGTTATTTTGCCTGAATATATAGCCTCATATGTGTAAATTTATGTATTGACTTTCTATTCTCCTTCCTTTTACTAATAAATATCCAGGTTTCACTGAGATAGTAGAGTTTATTCTTAATAGAGCTAATGGTGCCGAACATGTGAAAAGGATGCTAGAGACTGTGGACGTGGAAGGTGATACTGTAAGTTTGACATTAACTTCAACTGGCCTTAAGGTCTTATTTGGGTGGTTAGTTTCATTGAATAGCTTATTGAAATTGTAGACCACTCAGTGAAAAATAAATGAATCATCTTTCTTGCTTGGTACGCTTGGTCTCTTGGAGGCTAAAATTTTCTTGCTGCGCTTTTTGTGTGGCTTTTATTGTTTCCAGCCTCTTCATCATGCGGCAAGAGGTGAACATGTAGATGTAATAAGGTTGTTGCTGGGCTCTGGAGCTTCTCCTACAAAGAGAAATATATACGGCAAGGTTAGTTTAAAACAACTTTTTCTTTTGCAGTAGTTGTTCATTATCTGTTTGTAACTAGCAGTTGCTGGCAGACACCTAGTGAGCTAGCTGATCCAGGCACTGAGGCCAAGCGAGTATTAGAAGCAGCTTGAAGATCTATGGCTTGCTAAAGAACCGCTTTGCCCATTGGCGGAAGAAAGTTCAGAATCTGTACTGACTGTGGAAGGAGTTGTTGCTTGTGAAAGGAGAAAAAGAAATGGTGTTTGGAGATTTGAGTAGTTTAAATAGTTTATTTTAAAGCCCTCTTTTATTTAACAAAAGAGGGCACACAGATGATAGATAAGAGTTTAAACTCATAATGTGTTTGTAAACTGAGATTGAAGATGTTATATTAATTAAAGGCGCAATTGGATGATATTGAGTTGGAAAAAGATCATGGAGGAGGAATTCTGATTGTATTGGTGGAAGTGGCTGATGGGAATCTATTATGAAAAACTAATACCAGTTGTTGAATTCTTAAATCTCTTGGTTAAAATACTGAAAACCATTGTCTTGTCTTTAGTATATTAACCTCTAAAGTAGATAAGACCATGTCTTAAAGGTTGGTGCAAGACTGCGTCTTCCCACTATGAGTGGCCGAACCAGGATTGACTCATGTCCTTAGCGGTGAGATTCTTGAACCTTAAAACCACTTGGTAATTTAGTACAAACAACTAAATAAATGGATGAACTTCGTGGGAAATTACAAAATCTATTGCGCCAGAAAAGGAAATTAATTATTCGCCCAAAAAATTTAAGAAGGCTTCGTTACGCGCATGACTGACTGTCAAGCTTCCTCCCACCAATCGCCTGTCACCACGTTGCCGCACCACTAAAACCAGCCTGTTCCTCGTTGCATCCAAGCCCTACCAAGCCAAAAAATTAAAAATAATGATTTTTTTTACTCTGGTTTTCTAATCTATAAGAGTCCCACAAAAGACTGAAAACGGGGATTGCTCTCTCCTTTCTCCATACTCAATTGACAGTGAAGAAAAAGAGGACTGGTGTTAATTCCCTGCTTGGCTTCTCTCCTGGCTTGCGAGGGGGGTCTCGAGCCTGCAGATCTCAATTTTACCCCTTCGCTGTAAGAGGTGTCTCAGAAATTCGGTTACCCTCAAAAAGTAGCGGTTTCGAAATGGCGGCTCCGCCGGCTAGAGCTCGTGCTGACTATGATTACCTTATCAAACTGCTTCTCATCGGCGACAGCGGCAAGTCTCTCTTTCATGATATCAACCTCTTATATTAGCTTACACTTAGTTTCTGTTTAGTTTTGTTTTGTTTGTTTGTTTGTTTGCTTGCATGCTTTTTCCCTCTTTCTATCATTTCTCTTTAACTTTGGATTAGGGTTTAGCTATTTTTATTTGATAGCAGTTTGTATTGATCACTTTTGGAGGATTACGATTTGGTTTTTTTACCAGTTGACTCGCCACTCCCTACTTTAATTGAAATTGCATTTGCCAAGTTTTGGTAGGAAACTGAGCTCATTGTTCTTTGGTTACTGAGAATTAAAAAAAAGAAGACAATAATCGATATTCTGTAATCTATCGACTTCCCGTTGCTTGTACTTTTTTCTTGTTTCTTTTCTAACGTTGTCCTATTAAAAGATTCAAATGAAACTTCAGCATCCTTGATTTTGTAATGTCTGTTTTTAGGGAAATTTCAACATTCTTGGTGTGCTTTTCTTTTCTGCTTTAAATCTTAACTTCTTCATCCTGTCCTGGAAATTCCCCTCAAAAGGCCTTATATTACATCGATGAAATGTTTGGTTGGAAAAGCATCCGAGTAGTTTATTCCCTGGGCTTGTAGTTTGACTACGTGTTGTTATCACGCGATGTTGTGAAGATCTATAGTTAGTGCTGAGTAACAGACTCTTCTTGTTGGTATGCTCAGTTATGATCTGTTAAAATTTTGTGCACCAGATCCAGCCAGCCATCCAGGCTTGCATTTGAGGGCCGAATCATATCTTTCTTGGATCTTTTATCTGTAATTCGTCATCAATTCAAATGGATTTTATATGCAAACTCAATTTGTTTTATTTTAACTTTGATAGTAAATCGCCCTATTGCATAGGAAATCAGCAGATGTTGATATGTCTTACAATTAGGATGTGAAGTCATTTCCATCTATTTAAGCAATCGGTTTAACCTTATACAGGCGTGGGAAAAAGTTGCTTACTGCTGCGTTTCTCAGATGATTCTTTTACCACAAGTTTCATCACAACAATCGGGTGAGTTCTTAAGTTTTAATGTTTATTAAAGTTATTATTTTATAATTTTCTCCAGTTTTTTGAGATGTAATACTTCTATCAGGATTGACTTTAAGATACGGACAGTTGAACTTGATGGGAAGCGCATCAAATTGCAAATATGGGATACTGCTGGACAAGAACGTTTTAGGACAATTACAACAGGTAAACTACTATTTTTTCTGGTAACCTTGGGGTTTTTTGCGATGCAACTAAATAATGTTCTTGTTGAATTTGTGTGGTAACTATTTTTTACAAGAAAAGAAGAAATTGTATTTTGAACAGCACCAATACGAGTAACTCAAGTACAACTTACTTTAAGCCAAAAAGTCAGTGAACTCTAAAAGTTACTTTGCATACGCAATAGAACTGTCCATTGACTCCAAGTTAAGTATATCACCTGTCTTTATAAACGGAATTGTTAACTCCTTCAAGGACGTCTATATTCCTTTTCTTCTTGACATCCAAGTATAGATATGGAATTACAGAATTTCCTCTCCTTTGCTTTTTGGAGGCACTCGAATTCTTAATACCTGTATTTCTTTTACACCTAATTGCCATAAACCATCCAAGGCCAAAATATTGAACGTGTTGTCTTCCATATCCAATTCAAATTGGTAGTTCATGCCATTCATTCCTTGGCATGCCAAAGTACACTTTTATCATTCTAGAATTGAAGATATAAGTGGAGTTGATTCAATTACGCATCAAATACATAACTTGTCATTTGATTGTGCAGAATAGATATTTTTGTTTATTAATTAGTTTGATCTATGGAAAGGGGGAAGAATATTGTAATTGTTTTTTTTTTTTTTTGTGTTCATTGCCTATCTGTGCACATAGCGGAAAAACACCTGCAAGATGTTTGCGTATGCAGACAATTCTATACTTCTTTTTGAGGTGGAGTCACAATCCACTGCAATTGGCCTGTAATAGATTTTTTTTTTGAAATAGTGTGAAATGTATATTACTATAGGCATCAACGGGGTGCCACCCATATACAAAAAATTTACATGTCAATCAAATTATCTACAAGGTTGGTTAATTCTTCCATTAAACAAAGAGGCTGACCTCGTAACAAAAAACCAAAAGTCTGAAATCATTTAATCTTAAGTATATCAAGACCATTAGCATCCTCAACCCCATCAAAAGCTTTCTTATTCCTCTCCTCGCACACCACCCAAAATATGGTTAGAGGGATAATCTCCACCTATTTCCTTCGACCAGTGATGCCCCTCCAAGCCCAAATTTTGACCCTCACTGAACCTGCCGTGACCCGATTGATTCCAAGCAGACCATAAACCATAGTCCATGACTTGTGAATTACTAGGCATCAAAGCAAAAGATGATTGCAAGTCTCCTCTGCCCTCTTGCCTAAATTACATGCATTGACCAGTATCTTTCCCCTCTTCTCAGATTATCAATATTCAAATAACATTCTCTAATTGCCTCCCAAGCAAAAAGCGAAACTTGGGGAGGTATTCTAGGCTTCCACATCGCAATTGGGCTGTAATATGCTAAAGATGACTTTCTTCCGGGAATCTGCTTAGAGTGGTAAATTGTCTAAATCCTATTTATCCAGTGGTCGAAAATGCATAATATCTGAATTTGCTTTTAGATCAGTTGGTGATACCATTTATATGTATATTTTCTTAAAGTTATCTTGGGTGGCTGTTCATGTACACTGTGTAAAAAAATGAGTAAAAGAATAGAAATGAAAGGAAGAAAATATTTTCAAAAGAAATGAAGGGAAATGCATGTTCTTACTTGTCAGTACTTTATTAATAAAATGACAAGTTACAAATAAGGATAAGATATGGAATTAACCATTAAAAGTTCTAAGTATATTTCTTCCCCTTTCTTTTCTCCCAATATGAGGAAATTAAAAAATTGAATTTTGAAGAGGAAGAAAGAGAAGCAAGAGATAGTCACAATCGTTTCTTTACCTTTGCTAGATTTTTTCTTAAGAAATATTTTATCCAGACCATAGGAAACGATGGTGGATGGTACCTTATCTCCTTTCAGTTCCCCTTACTTTTCTCAATCCAAACCTAGTGATAGGGACTTGCTGGATGATCATAGTTGATGCCTATATAGCTCAAGTTTTTTTTTAAGTGCTCTCTCTCTCATGTATTGTCTCCTTTTCTTTTGTAGCTTATTACAGGGGAGCCATGGGCATATTGCTGGTTTATGATGTAACAGATGAGTCCTCTTTCAATAGTATGTTCTTTTCTTTTTTCCATTAATGTCTATTTTCCCTTATGGTTTGTCTTTCCCGAAAGAAGCTTCTCATGCCTATGATCTTTGGTGCAACTTCATTTAGACATCAGGAACTGGATCAGGAACATCGAGCAGCATGCCTCAGATAACGTCAACAAAATATTAGTTGGCAATAAAGCTGACATGGATGAAAGCAAAAGAGTAATGAATTTAATTCATCTAAGAACATCACTTGTGCTGTATTCCGGGTTTCAGTGGTCATTGATTTTGATCTCTCATTGTAGGCTGTCCCTACATCAAAAGGTCAGGCATTAGCTGATGAATATGGTATCAAATTTTTTGAGACGGTGAGTCCGATGATTTATCCTTTTTAAACTCAAATCCCCAATATGATTTTGGGTAGGATTGACACTCTTTAAACTCTCTGAGCAGAGTGCAAAGACAAACTTCAATGTGGAGCAGGTCTTCTTTTCAATTGCAAGAGACATAAAGCAAAGACTTTCTGAAACTGACGCAAAACAAGAGGTAAATAATGTCTTTCCCCATAAATAAACCTTGTTTCAGGAACGGCAACACTATCCACATTACTCGGTTCACTATTGTTCTTGCAGCCTCAGACCATCAAGATCAGTAAACCGGATACTGCAAAAGGTTCTGGCGCAACTGCTCCAGAAAAATCAGCATGCTGCGGTTCTTGATCCAATATAAGTAGGATGACTGTTCGGCTGCCACATGCATGCATTATTTATCTGCACCGCGGAAGTTGTGCCAGTTAGCCGAAGAAGCCAGTTGGTTATTCAGATAAAAAGATATGTGGGAGAACTTTTAAACGCTTTATGTGATTTATTATGTACCTGACCTGGAGCCTGAAAAAGTTATTAGGATCTGAGTATGGCACATTACATCGTGTTGCCAACAGTCAGTTATTACTTGGTAAGTAGTCATAGCTGCTTGGAATTCTAGATTTTTCTTCCCAGTCATGTTTGGCCTGCAATTATTTATAATAGACCAGAGAATTTCCAGCGGTTCAGCATATTGCTTTTCCTCAAAAGCATTGAAATAATGGAAAAATTCTTATTAGCTAGTTCTGCTCTGATGTGCTGACAGTGAGTCTTATCACCAAGAGCCTTTGCCCTCCATATATATATATATACACACACACACATACATATATATATATATATATGCATATGTGAGTATGATCCATTTTATTTTTTGTTGGGGGGGGTGGGGGGGGGGGGAGAGCCTCGTTGGGTTGGATTTAACACAGATAATGCTCTTCATCTCATAGTGGCTGATAAGCAATTAATTACTCAAGAAATTCAATTTAAAGTGGAGAATTTATATAAATTCTAACTTAAGTCAAAATTTGTTGGTTAATAGAATAAATATTTTTCTGTCTTTCAAAAAATAAAAATTATGTATAAGACTTTTAAATTTTTTATTTTTTTTTTAAAAAAAGAATTATTTTGGGGTAATAAATGTAAACCAGTATCTAACAAAATTACAAAAAGAAAAAAAAAATTGCAGAGATCTTATAATTTAGCAATAAAAGGTATTTTCACAGCGCAAACTGTACATTTACCCCCCCCAAAAAAAAAAAAAATCTCTTATTATTATTATTATTATTATTATTTTCTTTTTGAAGTGGCCTTAATTAGTCATTATTGTATATGTATATATATATATATGTATATGTAAGTAGTCATTGGTGTATATATTGCTCCGAAGCAACAGTTTAGTGGGCACATATTAAGTATAAGACTGTTGTACATATTTTTTTTTCCAATTTTTTAAATAAAGAAATTTTGATGTTTATATTAAAAGTTAAAATATCCTTATTATATATATATATATATATTAATTATCAATTTTTTTAAAAAATATCCTCAGGCAATTGCAAATTTACTTTCCGGTAAGAAACTACCTCGCCTCTATAAAAGGAGGAGACCTGAGAGTTTCATTTTTTTCACCACATAATCTTTTGAAACCCTAAGTCCGGGAACAAGAGTGACTAAGTGGGCGGAGGTATCCGTAAATGCAACAATTTCTTCTAAATCAAATCCTGTAAGCCACTTCGGAGGTTCGTTCTTGTTTATTCTGGCTTTTCATTTTTCGTTTAATATTTTTGTTTTTGTATCTTCGAAGTTCGCTTTCCCTTTCAGCAATTGAAATTGAGTCTTTTATCGTTTCGGATTACTTGATTCGCTATAAGCTTTGACTTTATCCCTCGCGTATTTCGTAAATGAAGGAAATTAATCGCTATGTATGGGTTTTCGTTTGGGTGTGCGGTTTTGGAAATGGAATTAAACGCTATGTTAGAATTCTTCTGTCTACCTTTTTTTTTTGTTTAAATCTGGTCTGGCATATTTAGGGTTTCGTTGTTCCGTCTAAAATTGAAAGCATATACAGTGAACTACTGACTTTGAACGTTAATATTTTATTGAAGACATTTGTTATGATGACTTTAGTGTCGTAGTTTACGTTTGGTTGCTCGTACAGTTTTTATTTTAACAACAGCGGGAGTAAATTTTGTGTTGAAAGCTTCATAGAATTGTCGTGAAGCAAAACTAATTTTTGGTAGATTTGAATTCAAACTGAAATTTTGGGGAATCCTAAATTCATGATCCTTTCGTCTTCTCCCCTCCTCCCAACCCCTAATATGATCCTATGGGAGTTTATTCTTTTTATCAGAATTTCCTTTCCTTGGTACTTGCAAAATTCTTAATTTTACCACAAATTGCCTATAATTGTATGTGCTTCTTTGTTGTTAGTAAATAGCTTCAGTGTGTTTCAGGTGTTGCCCTTCATGGACGCAAACCCGCAGTCTCCTTCCTCAGTAAATGTTGACCCCAAAGCAACTTTTCGTAAGCCTTCAAATGATGCAGCTAGTAGAAAGTATCGGCGCCGGTCACCTGCTAGCCGCTCATCGTCATCTGATGGTTAGGCTTTCAATTTGGATTATGAATGTTCAAATACTCATTGCTTTTTTTTTTTTTTTTAATTTTGATTTTTTTTATGACTTAAGTATAGTGGTGGTAACAAAGCATTAAAACCATACATTGAATACTTCCATTTACCCACTAGTTTGTTTTATATCTTACCAGTTTGGACTGATCATATTTCCTTTCTTCAGTCCGTTTTCTTACTTGTGGTTGCATGATGGCTGAGTGTTCATCTTTCATTTGATTAGCAACATCCATAATCCCCATTGAGTCCAATCCAATGCAGTGGTGATTTGATCTTTCTTTTGGTGGTGCGAACTTCTCTGTGAAGGTGGTCCTGATGCAGCATGACTGGAATTCTGTGTTTGCTTCACGCTTTATGATGAAAATATATGTGCATATGTTTCTGTTCTGGCTTCTAATATATTAATAGTTGTATGCATATGGATGCGTAATTTGTTAGGTTGTGGGTGGCATATTTGTTTTGTGGTAAATGTACGCAAACTGTGATGCATTTTCTCTCTCTCTATCTCTCTCTCTTTTTTTGGAGGGTGAGGGATGGGGAGGAATAGCAGTTGGCCCGATATAGAATGAATATTTGGGACATTTTTGGTTTTCTTCAAGGGCACTTCCAGGCTGGGATTAGGCAGCAAACTTTGAGTCTAAGACATAATCGTCTCCCATTCAGAACCACCACCATTAGCATATAACAATTCAAGCATATTATATTTACATGTTTCGGTATTAAGTCTAGCACAGAATAGAGATTTTCGTGGAGTGTGTATTCTCTCCAACTTTGGTGTTTTGTTTGCATGTTTAGGTTGAATTATTTGGTTAAGCTGTGGAAATTAATATCGATATCCAGATGATAGGCCATTAAGAATCAGAGGAGAGGAGACAATCTGATTTTAAGTTTAACTCTATGGTTCTTTTGTAAAGCTTATATTGTAATGGTAGGACAATTTAAGGACAGCCTTCGCAATATAAAGCAGTGGGACTAAGTTATTTTTCAGATGGAAATTGTTCTCAATTTCCTTGCTGCATCTTATAAAATAACGTTTTTAATTGATCATAGAATGGTGAGAATTTTTTGAACCAGAATGGCTCTTTCTGTGGAATTTAGGGATGTTTTCATCTATTTCTTAAACCTTTCTTATTTCTTAAATTTATACACAGCCAACATATGTGTTTTTTTTAAAAAAACAGAAAATATTATTATAGAGAGAGAAGAAAGGAGTACATCAATAGAGGATAAGTGATCACGAAAATTGACCTACAATCTTTTTTTTTAAAAATAATTGATGCATCTGTCTGTCAGTTTATGTGCAGGGGTACAAGTGACGAATAGCACTGAGAAAGCTCTACTTCAAATTCTTGGTTCAGCAATTCATTTGCATAGATGAAAAAAAAAAAAACAAGAATGTAATGTTGGTTTATTTGCTAGATATGGATGGCTACTGGCCCCCACCACCCACCCCCTATGGCCCCCCAACCCCAACCCACTCACATCCGTATCAATAACAGAAACGTCCAAATAAATAATGTGATGGGAACTTTTAATCACTTCACATCCGTATGTATACATGTATATGCTTGCATGAATACAATATTTGTAGCACACCTCTTTTTTGAACTTTTGTTATTGATAGTACAGAAATCCAATTTCCCCCTGTTATTTAATGTCTGCCTATTTTTTGGCATTCGAATAAGTGGTATAAACTTATCTGTTATGCTTGGTCAGTCAGATTTGTTGGCCATTTATTTAAGTTGGGAACCTCTAATGGGATAAATTTATATATATTAATGTGCACTAAATTTCTGATGGTCCTAGAGCAGCTTGAATTTGTATTTTATCGCTCTTATTTTTATATCCATCTTTAATCTCTGTATCTTGCTTTTATCTCAAAAAAAAAATCTGTCTCTTGCAGGAAGTCCTAAGAATCACCAAAGCCCTAGTCCACTTTACTCAAGAGAAAATCCTCCATATGTCTCCGAGCATCAACAGAGAAGAAAAGATGATGAGAGAGAATTAAACAAAGATTCTTCTCGTAGTCAGATTGGCAAAACTAGTGATTCATATAGACATTCTGATCACCACTCATCCAGGAGTTCCCAGAGCCATTCTAAGCGTGATGACTACGGCAGACGTGACAAGCATGTGGATGATGAGGATAGAAATTACCAGAAGTCATCATCTCGTTCGGCCCGAGAGTCAATGAGCAGTCATCATTCTGATTATACAAGACAGGAAAGTGAATATGGTAGGTCAAAGGGTTATATGGACAGATATCAACGTGATAAATATGATGATTCAGGAAATAGAAGCAAGGATAAAGAGAAAGAGACATCTTCCTTTGAGCATCAGAAGCATAAAGATAAAGATCATTCATCTGACAGAGCTGGATCTGGTCGAAGACATGCTAACACAAAATCTGAAGAGACAGAGAGGGAGTGGCATGCACGGGAAAGAGATAGTCGTGACGAGAGAAGAGATTATCATAGAAGTTCAGGTGATCGGAGAAGTGATAGAACATACTCCCGTGATGAACCTAGAGGACATCGGCACGACTCAACTTCTAGAAGGGATGATTCTGGACATCATGCAAAAGAAGGTTATAAGAGTGACCCAAAGGACGAAAAGAGGAAATATGATGACTGGGAAACCAAGAGGGACAAGGACCGGTACAGTAAAGTGCCAGGGGAGAGATTTGAAGATAAAACTGTTTTTGCTAGTGAAAGCCAAGAATCTCCAGCCAAGAAACCAAAGTCATCAAGTTCAGACAAGTTCTTTGATTCTGCAACTGATGGTAATATTTTCTGTTATGTTCCTGCTTTTTGTTCGAAGTTGTTTTTCTTTATTATAGTTTGATGTTTTGGCAAAATATTCCATTTTGACCATAGGTTCTAAGTTTTCTATGACCGTAGTTGAGGACAAACAGTTTTCAACTTCCAAAGAATCAACATCAGCCCAGGAGATTGATGGTAAATCTTTGGTAGGTCAGTCTCAAGCAAATTATTCTGGTTTTGCTAATGATCTAGATGCTGCAAAAGTTGCTGCAATGAGAGCTGCTGAGTTAGGTATGTAATGCCTTAATATAAGTACTATCTCCACTACAACTTCAGTAAATTTTGTTGTTAATTATGTTATTCTGCATTGTTTATACCATTTTAAATCTACTATTTGATTTAATATTATTTTAAATCTATTATTTTCATGGGATAACCTAATAGCTCTTCATTCTTAATGCTATATGTATCCACTAGGATGTGATACGTTGATGTAGGACCATTTTTTACATAGCATTTTATGTTTAGAGTTTTTTTTTCTTAGCTCCCACATCTGTTGTTAAACTGCAAGGTATTCTCTATTAATCAATATTTTGTTTCCTTGATGTCTGACTACTGTGAAAATTACATGCCGAAAATTAATCTGTATTAGGGTAGAGAATCTCAAGTTTGGGGGTTTGCGTACACCGTCACTGCCAACTTGTGGTCATCAGCAATTCTTATTTGTATAATTGTTTTTATTTCATTTTGTTCTAGTACTGGGCATGTTCCTTACTAATGAATCAATGAATCCCAATAACATTGAATAACGTTTTTTCCTTTATGATGAGTTGCCTTGAAATTGTTCTTAGTAAAGAGGTATGTCTTTATATAACAGTTAATAAGAATCTTGTTGGCGGGGGTTACATGACTACTGATCAAAAGAAGAAGCTCCTATGGGGAAATAAGAAGGCAACGACTACAGAAGAGGTATCTTTTGACAGGTATTTGATCAAGGCATGACATAATTGTGTTCTGACATCTGTTTCTTGCCTCCTTTGTCAGCAGTCTGCTCATCGCTGGGATAATGCACTTTTTAGTGATCGCGAACGACAAGAAAAGTTCAACAAACTCATGGTAAATTTCATAATTTGCCCTTGTTTCTGTTTCTGTTTCTGTTTCTTTCTGTTTTTTTTTTTTTTTTTTTGCTTGCATTAAGATCGAATTAAAAACACATGGTGACATTAAAGACCTTGATTGCATATTCCTGTATGACACATTCTCAAAGTCAGTTCCTTCACTTACTAACACAGTTTTAGAGTCTGAGGTTGCCTTGGTACCTATGGCCACTTGTAGGGTGTGAAGGGCGATGCAAGTGTGGAGCAAAAGTCCGACAAGCAAGATCCGAGTGGCCTGCTCCGGGCGGAGAAGCAGAAGGAACTCCAACTGGATTTAGAGAAGCAATACACTGCTGGACTTCGTCGAAGAGATGGACGCACTGTCGGATTAGGTCTTTAATCATCACCTTGCAATCCTTTGCTAGTATCGACCCAGTGTTATGTGACTTTTTGTTGTACTGTTCAAGATTTTTAATTCTTGTGAATTTACAATTGAGGCATGCCATGACAAAAATATGGTTCTGGTTTTGACATTTGGAGTTGCTGATAAGAAAGGTTATTGGGAGGCGTCTCATCTTTCCTTTCCACGTGACTATCTTGCATTGTTGGTAGGAAATGTATTAATCTGCACTCTGCAATTAGTTCTCCCTGGCCAATGGACGGCCGCATATGTACAAAAAAAAAGGAGTGTTTCCAACCTCGGTAAAAAATGGATTTTAGCGGGGGATATGACAAGAACCGTTGGTCTCGCGGTGGCTGGAAAAAAAAAAAAGCAGGGGCATAGCATATGCGTTAAAAGATTAAGGTGAAAAACATCACTTGAAAATTTCAAAGATGGTAAGCTATCGAACTTTTAAAAGAAGGGCAATAATTTTGGTTTGTTGTTATTGACGTTTCTTATGATTTAACTTTTACCTAAAATCATTAATTTCAGTGTCGAGCTGAGATATACATCGCATATAGGGGTTGGGTTAATGTTGGATCAAGAAGCTTTGTGGCCAAAGAAACTTTGAAATTAAAAGCTGAGGACCCCAGGCTGATACGTCCACTGTGAGTACGACCGACATACGCAATCTTTGTCTTGACTCATTTTCTTTCTTAATTTTCATCACATATTTATGTTGTGCGCACAGCATCAGAGAATACGTATGACCAGGCTTCAATGGCAACTACTGAGGTCATTTCACTTTAAATAATACCATTCGATATTGGTGAGTGCATTATTATTATTATTTTTTTTTACAAGTAATTGTAAGTTCGAGTGAAATTTATAAAAAGCCTGGGAGAAGGAAAAGCTTAAAGAGAAGATGGAACAAAAAGCTTCAAGGAAAAAGAAGGAAGTCGTACCCTTTTCAATGGCAAACCAAGAAAATAGAACAGGACGGTGACTGGTTTTTTTTTTTTAATCTAAACCTTATTGCATTTATTCCAGAACTCCATATACAGTATCATATATATATAGTATTATATTGTATTTTCATTAAGGATTCCACATCCATCAATAATGTTACATCATATAAAATTTGAAGATAACAGAATTAGATAAGTGGTCAGTTTGAGTTGGCTCTCTAACAACACACAATGTAATCTTGTGTTAATCTTTTAGATTTGAGCATCAAAATCAATTCTTCTTTTATAAAATTTGACTAAGATTCCAATGAAGGGTCCCCCTCCCCTGCACACCATCCCTATCTTCATAAATTACAGTAATTGTATTATAAATTAATTAATAAATAAAATAATTATTCTTTTAATTGAAATAATTACAGTACTCTTATGGAAAACCTCTTCATATCCTTCCATAACGACAAGATGGATTTGACCCCTTAAAAATGGCTTCTTCTTCTTTTTCTTTTAGTTATTTAATATACCTAGGAAATGCTCAGCACATCCTTGTAGTTAACGTCATAATTCAATATTTTCCAAATAAAATTTTAAATATTTTCATTAATCCATCAATATATATAACATAAGATTTTGCCCTTCAAAGAATTACAGCGATGTGCAGATGTGGTGTCTGAGAGCAGAGGTTAATTAGGGTTTGTTAGATGTTAGGGAAGAGGGAGATGGGACTGGGGTGAGCTTTTAATATCTTCCATGACTAATCCCACTTCACAACAACCCTCCCACCAAATACCTTTTCCCCTTCATCACTCTCAACTTAAGCATCCACCCACCATCCATTCCCCAATCAATACAGTTTATCCACACTACTTAAACTCACTTTGTGCAGCAGCTCAATAACCTATAGGATTTAAGAACTTATAACCATTACTTTCTACTCATGCTTCATAAACTACAAACTCTCATGATCCCTTTTTTTTTATGGTCGATATTTTTAGTTAATTTCTTTGAGAATTAAAATTAAGCTTAAGTTATTTCTTTATTTGATTAAAGATAGTTAATATATGCTAAAGACGAAAGAACTTGTTAAGAAAACTACTTTTGTATGGCTAAGAATTAAAAAGTTTCTCCTTTAGTCTTAAGCATGGTAAAATCAAATCCTTACTGGCTAAAAAGTTTTTTAAGGAGAAGAAAATCTATATGCTAAAATCACTATTTTTTTCACTGAGATTGTGAAAAAAAGGTGAGAGGGACAGACATGCATCCGGTTCCTCCTGATCTTAATCTTGATCAACCAGCCAAGTTTTTCAATGATTTTTGTTTATTTATAATATCAAGTTCGAGTCTTTTGGGTAAGCTAGCGAGAAAGATGTGTTGTTGTTGTTGTCAATATTAGGTACCTAATTTTGGTCCATCATCAATCTATCCTCTTTCTCCACCGCTAATTTTTATCTCTTCTGACTTTTTTGGCTTCTGATTGATATTACCTTCTTCTTCTCAAATTCTCCAGACATGGACATGTTAGTTTTTGTTGGTTCTCATCCCTCTCTGATCTTCCCTTGGATTTTATTCTCTCCATTTTTTTTCTTCTCATTAATCTTCCCAATCATTCCCTCTGCCATCTGTCACCGTTTCCGTACAATTGGGTTCGGGTTCTCCTTAATGGTGGGAATTCACTGTATTTAGATACCCAGAAAATTAAAATTAATACTAATATTATTATCAAAAGACTGAATAAAAACCTTGAAGGAGCTGTTGGTTTCTCTACCTGTGCTGTGGTGAAGTATGTATGCAATTGCAATCAATGTTTTGTCGGTTGCGGTGTCAACACATGTATCTTTATTAAGTGCACTTGAAGCTTTAGCCCCACTCGACAACTCCGTCGATTTCGCCAAACTAAGCACACTCTTATCTTTCATTGGCTCTTCTTTTCTTAAATTGTCAATATCAGAGTGATACAAGTAATCTTTTCTTGTGGTTGTAGGTGAAATTTCATTCTAACTCTTGTTTATTTATACACATATATTTATATGTGGTTGTTTCCATGCTTAAGCCTCTCCACACGGCATGCTAAACTTCACTTGAATCCCATCCATCAGTTCTTTTTCACTGCTGCAATGATTTTCTTCTTGATTTCTTGCTTCTCCTTCATCCTCCTCTCCAAGTCCTTCTCTTCCAACTTCAAGAATAGACCGACAGTGATCAGTGAGTGGAGATTGCTGCTTCCGTCGCCTTGGTTTTGGGGTACCTTATCTGGGTTCATTGCGTCGTTTTCACAAAAAGGTTCTGGGTTTGGGAATCAAGTGGTGACCATGGTTATCCCATTGAAGAAGATAGTGAGTTTTGGGTCAAGAGTGGAGAATGTGGAGGAGGAAGAAAAGGTGAGTCTTTTAGATTTGCCTGAACTTATCCTGGAATCAATTCTTGAAAGGCTTTCTCCATCTGGGTTGTGTAGTATGGCGGGAGTTTGTACTTCCTTGAAGGAGAGATGTGGAAGTGACCATTTTTGGGAGAAACACATGAAGCAAAAATGGAGTAGAGTGATTGGCGATGCTGCTTACAGAGAATGGCAATGTTATTTTGCCTCCGAAATGGTACCGGGAAGTTTGGATCAAACAAAGCCAACGAAATTTTCGAGGTTTCTTAATAGTGTTTGGCCTTTTTCTTGGATTAATCCAGAGGTAAAAAGTATTGGTAGCAATACAAGGAGTTTTGTGCATGGTGGTTCAATCATGGCTTGGTATCTCTCTCTTGAGAGTGGTAAACTGTGGTTCCCAGCTCAGGTCTATAACCGGGAGGTAAATGTCTGCAGCTAGTTTATTTGAAGGGTAAATCAACCCGGTCGGGATTTTCATGGACAGTTTTTCTTGGTATTTAGTCTTTGCTAATTGGTTGTTGATGGACGTTGATTTCTGTATTTTTTTGTGCAGAATGGCCATGTTGGGTTTATGCTTTCTTGCTATGATGCCAAAGTTAGCTACAATTCCCAGACAGACACTTTTCAGGCAAGGTATACCAAGAGATCCCCTTTTAAAGTGGCTGATATTAATCCAAATTTATCAGTTAATGACAAATCAAAATCAATTTAGCCCTTTGTAAAATATTACGTATCAGTTCTTGAAAGTTAAATGAATTTGAATATTGTTCACATTTATAGATTTTAAAGATTTACACAATTTAAATCCCTGTTTCTATTACCAAATTTTATTTCTTGACTAGAATTTAGTGATTTGTGATTCTGGTGGTTGAAATTCTGTGATTCTGGGATTTGCATAGTTAATAAACCAGCTCAGCTACTGTAATTTTTAGCTGAAGTTTACTGAAATTTTTACTTGTTTAGTAAGCTAAGCTGCACCACTGAAGCAGTTCCCTCTCTTGACCTGATAATGCTGTTTTCCTACTTTTCTAGGTACTCACCTCATGGACAGCATACAAGAGAGGAAAATATACCATGGGAGAGGCTTAGAGCACCCCAAGTTGACACTCTTCCACATGTTGTTCACATCTCTGATTGTTTACATGACTTGAAACCTGGAGATCATATTGAAATCCAATGGAGAAGAAACAAACAGTTTCCTTTTGGTGCGTTTCTTTACCATTGCAAGTTTTATGCACAATTTGAGCAGCACTTTTATTAATTCATTCTGTCTGTGGATCATATTTGAAGTTCTTAAGCATCCCTCAGAAGTAGTTAATAATACTTCCCCTGTCAATTTCAGCAGTGCAAGTAACAAATTGAGCTCAATGTATTGCAGGCTGGTGGTATGGTGTTGTTGGTCACTTGGAATCTTGTCATGGAAATGAGAAAAACTGCCTCTGTTATCATAGTGGTGAGTTCAGAGTCTATTGTCCTGTCCTTCATAGGAATCTTTTATCCATCGCTCGGTGTTAGATTACTTTTCAGTGATCAATTCCTGGTGAATTTATCACTAATGCTGTGTGAATTTATCTGGTTTTCAACTTCTTAAACGAAGTTTCTGCGGGACAGTTATCCCTCGGTCTGACATGGTGTCTCAATATGAGGTCTGGGTTAACCGCACTATTTTAGATGTTTGAGACGGCTCACATATTTTAAATAAAGTATTCAAACATGTTGGTGGTTATTGTTATAAAACTCCTATAAACAATCTTTAATCAAATGAAGATACCTTACCTTCTTCTCTTGCTTTATAATAGGCATGTAAAAAAATCATGTCTAGTTTACACAAACGCACACAGAAATGCATACACATGCACATATATATACATCTTAACTCTCTTGAAATGCTGAAGTTCAAAATCACGTCATGTTTGTTAAGCCATCAGATAACTATGTAATGTCTGTTCTTCATTGATTCCGAAAGCTGAATATTTCAGCTGCCTCTTCTCGCTATGTACTGCAGAAAACTTTTTATCGACAAACAGTTGCATTACATTCTCATTATTGACTGCTTGGTATCCAAACTGGAGGAAATAAATATATGCCTGTTATCATTTTCTGTTTCTTTTTCTTTGTTTGTTATTTTGGTAGAATGACACTGACTATTTCTTGTGACAGATGATGTGGCGCTGGAGTTTAACCAGTATACTCCAGGTTCAAGATGGAGACAAACAATGATAAACAGGAGGGATCACCGGGAAGTAGGCGACGAAGCTGATGGGTTTTATGGTGGTGTTAGGAAGCTTTACAAGGAGGAGGACATCTCAATATGGAAGAGACTATGGCCAAAACAAGTATTGGAATAGTACATGATCTGTTATGGAGTTTTTCTGTTGTCTCAGTAAGAATCATTTTGAGTAGAACTGATAGTGCATTAGGCTTCTTTTGTGCAGAGCCCTTGAAAGATTCATGTATATTGTATTTCGTATGACTGTAATGAGTCTTTTTGGATGTACAAATATGTGATATATATATATATATCCAAGAACAAAAAAGTTTTACACTAGAGAGCTCTTCAAATAACTTGAGTTAGAATTCGTTAAATTTTATGGTATATCATCCCGAGTATAATTCACTATTAGTTCTTAATCTCATTTTCATGATCTACTTAGTGAATCATTTCAATGAGTATGGTTAGTGTGTATAATTATATATGCGTGTGTGGGTGTTTGTACGTATTTCAATGTATATATATACATATATATATGGGCTCTAGGAACATGATTAACCATTGGAAAGAATAGGTGGGCCTCTGAGCCCATAATGAGAGAATTTAATGTAGCAGTTATATCCCAATGATGACTTTGACCGGTTGAAGACAAAATGATCATAAAGAGAGACGAATGGCTTGCCCTAATCATACCATATTATCATTACCATATATGCTTAACTCTTGAAGCTATTTTGACTGCAGAAATCAAATAAGAAAATAAGTATACTCCCTTCTGATTGCTTTATAATTACAAACTACATCAGATTTGCAGAATGCTATGCCAGAGAAATCTGCAAAGTCTAATTCCTTGGCCACAAACAATCATCCAAGAGTTGGTGAGGACTTTTTTATTTACTTACCTGCTCTCTCCATTTGCTCTATGAACAATCTCTAGAGACATAAAAGTATAAAAGTGTATATATATATATATATATCATTATTCACGGGCACATTGTAAACGTCCTAGTTACTTAAAAAAGTTACTGAATTCTATTCGATATCACAATGTTATTCGAGTTATAATCTGCGAAATGATACAAACAGGTTGAAGAAATGTGTGTGGTTAGAAATTTCTACTTGTAGCTCTGAATGGTGCAATGAGAGGGAGTAAGGAAATGAATGACCCCATTGAACACAATGAGTAATTGAGGTCAACTCAAAGTGCCAGGCTTTGACAAAATTAGCATCTTCTCATGTGTTTTTTTTTTGCTCTTGCTTTACAAAGTGTGTATATATACTTATCTCACAACAAGAGATTAATATGTTAATTCATGTTATAATTATTGTACGTATATAATATATGGGTATTTGGGTCACTACTTTATTTATCTGGATGCAAAAATCGCAATCATCAAGCGTCCATGACTCTCATGTATGTATATATATATATATATATATATATAGTAGTACTGCTCCTTTCTTTCTTCTTAAAATCAAAAGTGACCCAAAAACACCATCATTTCATTCAAGAAAGTTATACCTCCATGCATGATCTCTTCACTTTTTCTCAATTTTCAATATTTTGTACATATACCTAGTGTATAATTAATTATATGTATATATGTTTGATTAATTATTAAGTTTCACATTATATCACAGCTCCAAACAGAAAAAACAATATATACAAGTATAAATATGTATACGTGTGTGTGCGTGTCTGATCATCATTATATAGATTTTGTCATATATATGAATATCAGAGGGGAACTAAATATTCTTCGTATAAAGACTCCCCCACCCCAGATCGATGCTATAGATTTTCTAATATATGGGAAAATATATATTATAGGTAATAGAGATATATATATATATATTACCAATGATGACTCCTCTAGCTCTTTGATGATCAAAACTGGCAAAATAGCTAAAAATTACCTCGATTTAGAGAGCGACAAGCTTATTATTATGTCCTTGACTAAGTACGTAAGGAATATATGAAGAATACATACATCTCCATAAATACAAAGTTTATTGTTAATTAATATTTCTGATCAGTAAGTGTATATGTACTATTATTGGCTACAATCAAAGTAAAATCCATGCATACACACACACACAGACACCACGTATCCGCATCTTAGTGATACTTACATAAATAGTTATATGCTTAACTAGAGGCCTGCTGCAACAAATAATAAGGCACAGAAAGGAGGTTCGTAGCTGCTGGCTTTTGAAAGATCACGGTTGCGGATTACTAACCGCGGCCGCATAGTGCAGAGAGAATACTACTTCAGAGTAAAAACTTTGAGGAAGAGGAAATTATTTTTTCATTCTTTTGATTTTTCAGCTATGTCGCAATGTGATCTCGTGTATATTAAGGAACTGATCACGTGTATATTTGAAAGTATATTAAGAAAAATTTAGCTTTATAAATATATGATAGCAAACAAAAATTATATGAGTTACCATGACATGTAACATGTATGTGTCATATAGTCTTAAGCAGGTATGATATAAACGTACCGTGACATGATATATATGAGTTGAAAACATTGGCAAATAGGACAAGTTTTACACGCAGACAGGAAATTATGAATTCCCAGATCTCATTTAATTTACCTGTTAATCAGGACTATATGTAATTAAATTCTTACATGAAAGGTACATATTATCTTCCCACCTATATATATATATATATATATATATATACACGCACATGTTTTCTTGATAGCAAATGTCAAAAATCTCCTGCATAATACCCTTTGAAACTTCAGTATTTTAGGGTTGGGGGGGGTGGGGGGAAAAGGGAAATGGGAAATGATCTCTCTGTGAGATCTGAATACAAAGCTTGATAAGCAAGATTTTATTTGGCGAAACAAAGAAAATGATTATATCTCACATGACCAAGATTGATAAAGACTTGCAAAACCACTTTGGGGAAACATTCAAGTTTGGAAAAATCAACCGTCTACCTCTCCCTCTTTTATCTTCGTCTCCGTTTCTCTCTCTATTTTTCTTTCTTTCTCATCTCCCTCTCACTTTCTGGTTGGAGAGCTTTTTTAATTATCAGAAAAAGCTTAGGCTCTGAAACCTGTAGTTAAAATACAAGTTTCCAATACACACAACAAAACACTCTCCCGGTATCTGCTAGCCAGCTGCACCATATATATTTCTATATATTTCTATATATATATATATATATATATATATATATAGAAAGCAGGCATCAAGTTCTATGTGTTTTGACATTGACTTCGCTCTCTTCTTCGAACTCCTAGGTGCTTCTACTTCTAAACTACACCTAGAAGACAATACCCAAAAAGTTTCTTCCATAAAAAATCTCCTCCTTGGTCAACATATCTCTCACATCAAAGTTTCAGCTTCAACAAAACACATATTCAGTTTTCAGTTTTCAAGAGAGAGAGAGAGAGAGAGAGAGAGAGAGAGTCTAATTAGTTGAAGCAATTTTCCATGCCATCATGAGCAAGAAGCAAATGAGGATGAGAAGGGTTTTAGCTTGGTTCTCACTTTTTCTTCTCCTTCTGCTGATGCTTTTACAGTCGGAGAATTCGTGTTTTGCACATGGGTATTCAACATTTAGCAGATTCAAGAAGTCGGGTTCGTCTGTCTCTCATCGCCAGCGCCAGGCTACTTATCATCCTGCTAAATCTCAAGGTAATAGAAACGATTTCAGAGCAAATGCAAATAATAATAAACACGGTGGTGGTAGTGGTGGTGGTGGTGGTGATGAAATATTTGGAGCTGAGAAGAGGAAAGTGTATACTGGCCCAAATCCTCTCCACAACAGATAAGTAAAAGCATAGAAACCAAGCTTGATTTCTTTCAAGGCCACCAAGTTTTCTTCTCCAATCCGTTTTACTTAATTATTATTATTTTTTTCTTTTCTTTTTTTTTTAAAAAGGGTCTTTTTATAAGCATTTTTTGTGCTTAAGCGTTTGCTGAGTAATCACACAGCATCATCTCAAATCAATATATTTACAGATGTATATGAAAATTTAGATTTGAGTTTCCTGGAGAGGAAAATACACTCATAATCTGTCAAAAGATTTATATATATGTAAAAAAATATGTATTATATAAATTAAGGAAGAGAATATATTTCAGAAATCACTGGCCACATACATTAACATTGCCATTAATGGGGTTGTTGGAGTTTTGAATATCTTTTCACCTGCCTTTTTTCTCTACGTTGATGGTGTGAGAAAACCAAAACCAAAACCAAAAAAAATTGCTTCATGTGGGTCTGCTTCTGCTCTCTATTCTCTTTCGCACTCATTAGGTTTTCAGAATTTTGCAGGACTTACGAAACTAAATCCTTAATTCTCCATGATAATCAGTAAATATGAATTTACTTAATTATCAGGTTTCCACGCGTATAATTATCACACGTACATACGATAATACATACATACGCACGCACATATCTGTGTAATCATAATTTAACAATTAATTAGTCGTTTCCTTGGATTTTTCTAATAATGTTTTTAGGATCAAGAAAAATTAATTCTATTTTATTTTATTTAAAGAAGGTAAATGCGAATGATCATCCAGCCATTGGAATATCATCATAAATTCGCAGCTTAAATGATTATCAGGGTGTGCAGGGCCCCCCCCTCCCCACCACTGCAGGAGGTTTGGTGCCAATTTACTACTACTGCCAGCCACATTCCCACTATAAAGATGATCAGAAACTACTTCTTGGCTCTTAATTATTCTTCCTCTACGATTATTATTACTACACTAATCACAAATACCTTTCAAATTTCATATCTCCCAAAGGGGGTAATAAAAATCTCTCTCTCTCTCTCTCTCTCTCTATATATATATATATATAGATAGATATGTATATATGTATAGTTTAAGGAAAACACTGCTATATAAAAGTGAAGGAGAGAAAGTTGAATGAGTAGTAAGCAAAAAAACAAGGAGCCCTTCTCTCAAGGGCAATCATTCATGGAAATTTGTTTTGACATGCTGCTTTGTGTATATTGGACCCCTTTTAATACAATATTTTACCTAGTTTTCAAGGCACCGGGGAAGGGGGCTTCAGGACCACTTACATCATAATAAAACTATTTAAACTAAAATCCATGCAGATGACTCCATTTAATTTTCACCCTTTTTTCCCCCCACCCCCCCCAACCCTAAAATACTGAAGTTTCAAAGGGTATTATGCAGGAGATTTTTGACATTTGCTATCAAGAAAACATGTGCGTGTATATATATATATATATATATATATATAGGTGGGAAGATAAT